TTCATAAATGTAATTCACCATATCAATAGAAGCAAAAACAAAGACCATATGATCCCCTCAATAAATGAAGGAAAAGCATTTGCTAAAATTCAGTATCCTTTTCTAACAAGAACACTTAAGAAAATAGGCACAGTTGGCACATTTCTTAAGCTGATTGAAGCCATCTAAAAGAAGGAAATGACAATTTTCTTAGAAATGTCAAACTTTCAATATATCTGAAGTTAAACAAACTGTTCATGGAGAAATTGATTATTTTCTAGGAAAGTGATGAGGAATTATAATGTTCAATAAAAGCTCCTATGCACATTTCACTTTCTTTATGTACTATATTTTGTGTGATTTTTCCTTGTAGCATTTTAACTCATAGTATCTATATATTTATTTATCTTGTATGTGCATAGACTACACTATGTATTTTGTATGTATGTGGATAAACTACACTATGTATTTTCATACATAGAAATCAAAAAGAGAGTTGACAGTTATGAGTTTCAATTAATATATGTCAGTGGTCAAAATATTCAATATTCTCCCCAAATGGATCCTATTTATTTGAACAGACTTTTAAAAGTTCATTTATGCTGCATTAGTTGCCTTTATACATTTTTCATCTCTTTTTTCATTCTATCTTGTGAGCCCACCTATGTACGAATGTTGGCACACACAGTAAGTACATTTTCCAGAACTTGTGCAGTAACCAGCTACAGTTTAACAATGCCAAAGCAATTCAGTCTTTCTGCCCACTGCGAACTTAAGATTAAAGAAACACTGAGAAATACAGGTCTTCTGCCAACAAACTCTGAAATTTGAGAAGCTTTTCTTTTCCTTGGCTGCATTTTTGGTCAGTGTGCAAGGGACTATTTCCTGCCACACGGGGAAGTAATTAGGTATTTATTAAATGTGTGTGTTGGCAAGAGGAAGAATAATATTGCAAACACCGTTGTGCTCTATTTTATGCTCCCATCCAGAGCTGGAAACAATTTTCCATCCTTTAAATTGTATTCCAGAAGTTCACGTATTTCCATTAAACGTTCATACAGTAGAAAAACCACAAAGTAAAATATATTGTCTTTCACAATGTGGCGTAGGTGGATGTCATGGTGATTTTATAATACAAGTCTGTATCTCAGGATAAATTGAATTCTAGTTAAGTCAAGCTAACACCTTTAATAGTCTCACCCAGATGGATGGGGTAATGATCTTACATACAGTCCTTGAAAGTATACTTAGGTGAAATATTCTAACTAATAGAAATATTTCTGAGAAGGTTCATGTATATCATGCATTGTATATAAATTTTAATTACATTTTAAACATAATGGAAATGTTCTTTCTCTAAAAGAATATGGTAATGAGTTCTTTGGTACCAGAAAATTACTATTCCCTAAATTAAATGTTTTTTTGAAAATTTGGCTTTTAATTAATCATATTTTCTTAAAAGCAAGCCTTTAAATGTTTATTTTTAAAATAGTCTTGAACTTTTAAATTTATTAAAATTTAATTGCTTTAAAGAAGATTTTACAGAAATTTAATTTTCTTTTTGGTTCAAACCTTATTTTTAGGAAATCTATGAATTACCTTACATAGTTTTCACAATATTAAGTTACAGCAGAAATCCTAAGCCACCAAGGTAATTTGAAGCTTCCAGCAAAACTAAAAATAAGTAGGGCCACTACACTAATGGACATGAACTTAAAAGACAATGAAAATGACAACAAAATACAATATTTTCTATTGTACTTTTTATTTAGACTCTGACTCAAGGCATTTTATTTTTCTAAGTGTTTGAGTATCATATCTTTTAAATCCCCTAAAAAAAGAAAATAAGAAATGAAACTGTATAATCTGTATGATTTTGTCCACTTCAATCTAGCCCTCTGTTTGGTGCTTGGTGCTGCCCAAAGTTTGCTGAATGGCTGTTAAGAATAAAAGCCAGATACACATAACAAGGAGAATTAGAAATGCACTTTTATCAAAAGATTGTTCACTGTCATGGGGGGGAGATTGAGCATAGACAGTGCCTGTAGAACTACTCTAATAATACTCAAAAGGTGGAACCTACTCTAGTAATTTGTTTTTTATAAAAATTAAATAACCTGCATTGGTGATTGCAATATTCAGAAGGTGTTACTTTCATTATACAATTTAGATTTCCTCTGTTTAATAAGAAAAATGTATATGATGCTAAAGCAGCCTGTTTTGTTCATTACACTGTTCAGAAGGCATTTTTTTTATCACAAAGTTTAGATTTCCTCTGTTTAATAAGAAAATTGAAACACTATGCCAAGAACTATTTCATCTTTTTATCATGCCAGAGAAAGTACAGTTTTTAGATTTTGGATTATTACCAGTTTAATGATTTTGTGAATTTGTTTTCTAAGTAATAAGTTTATTTTGTACCCTTTCTTTTTCAGAATTTTTATCGAAACCCAGAGACTCCAGCAAAAGGTAAAGCACACATGTATTCACATATTTTAAAATTAAATCAATAGGTGTGGTGCCCATAGCTCAGGGGGTAGGGTGCTGGCCACATGTACCAGGGCTGGTGGGTTCGAACCCAGCCCTGGCCTGCTAAAAGAAACAAAAAAATAGCAGGACATTGTGGCGGGCACCTGTAGTCCCAGCTGCTTAGGAGGGTGCGGTGAGGGAATCACTTAAGCCCAAGAGTTAGAGGTTGCTGTGAGCTGTGATGCCACAGCATTCTACCCAGGGCAGCGAAATAAGACTCTGAAAAAAATAAAATAAAATAAAATAAATCAATAAAAGAAAAATTTATAGAACCCCAAATAATTTTTTCAATTTTTTAATTCAAATACTGTGGTAACACAGACACACAACAACATAACGCTTTTTGAAGGGAAAAATGTTTTGCTAAAATTCTTTTATCAATGGAAGTGATTATGCAAGGGAACAAAAATTCACAGTCTCTAACCTTTTAGCCTGAATTTTTGTTACATACTGAGAAAAATGAAGAGATTTCTAAAAATTAAAATACTGAAAATATAACCATTCCAAGGCTCTGCAAAATTTTACCATTTACCTAGTTATATTTTGATGTAAGAAAAATCAGAAAAGTGGCAAATGTCTGTCTTCAACGTCACTAATTTCAAATTTAAATTCAAACTCTGTTTGAAGAGCAAGTGAATGTAACAAGTAGGAGGATTAGGTTCTGGTATAATATTCATGGAGGCTCTGAGCCTATAAAATTGCAAGCCACTGGACTTTGTACAAAATGGTGGGTGTAAGATCACCTGGTATAGAGAGGTGTCCGATTTTTCAAATAAGGAAGAACTGCTTTGAATCTCACCTTCCCCACTTTTTAACTCTGTGATCCTAGACTAAACTCCTTCATTCTTGGGTTTCCTAATACACATAAAAGATATTAGATTTAATGTGCAGCCCGTGGTCAGGGCTATTCTTATGAGCATATGGTAGATGGTATTTGTCATAGGAACACTCTGAGGATCTTCAAGGAAACTGCCTGTTCTCCAGGTACTCAGCTAACACCCTTCGAGTCAAAGGACTCCTTTGGATAACAAACAATAACCCCACCTTCCTTCCACACCCTTCATAGTTTCAGTAAAGAGTTATGTAATAGAGGGATGTCCCTTCAATAATAATTCCCGCCATTCAAAAGAAGACATTTGATTATGTTTGAGGAACTTCCTCACTGCATATCACAGAAGAAAATTAGGTGGAAGAGGATATGGAAGTAAAAAATCTCTGCTAGTGCGAACATTCTGTTCCAGCTAGTCCTAAAACCCTGGAGAACAACATAGGGGAAAGGAAAGGATGGATAGATACTTCCTAACAATATTACTGACGCAGAATCTAAGTGATAGTGCATGCCCTGGGAGGCTACAGGGACAGCCAGGTGGAGCTGGCCCTTTTTTCCTTTTATCAGGAATGTCATAATGAGGCTTCCTCCCCATATGCCTCAGGAGCTTGGAATAGGAGATCTCACAAAACTATACAGAAATGTTCCTGGAGATTTATATTCTGTGGTAAGTCTTGGTCATTTAGAGTTAGTAAGTTTTAATTGCCCATACATTAACATTACCTTATTTTGGGCACCATAAGTCTTTTGCAGAGTCAAATCAGGCATGGGAAACAATATTTCACCATATTTTACCACCATGCCCAATGTCTTGAGTCCTTAATACATTTTGATGATGTCATTTAAAATGTAGTCTTCCTCCAGAGTTCTGAAAGTAAAGGTAATGCATAAGCACCTCTCTATACAAAGAAGCAAATTACAACCAAGGACTGTCTTTCTGTGCAAAAAGTCAAGAGTTTGCATAAACACTCAGATCATTAAGGTTCCCCAAAATATGTGCTGAGGCTTAAGTTCATAAGGTCTCTAACCCAACTTCATGATTGAGTTTAGATGTGTGTTCATTTGCACATTTGCACAAGATTGAGAATTATTGACAAAACCTCTGTGCCTGAGGACCACCAGATGTAAACTGGAGACTGAGAAACAAGACGTTTCTATACATTTACAAGTCTCTGCTGCCTGCTGTTCAAAAAGCTCTCCATTGACCGGCCTCCAGAGTTTGACGAAACCTCTTAAGACTATTTTTATACTGCTTTACTCTTCTGCTTCATTAATTCCTACTGCTGATTTCTCAGAGAATTTTAATTAGAGCTCTTTCCCTCCACTTGTCCCCCCAGGCTGTTTCAACAAAGGGCACAACTTCAGAAACATAACAAAGAAGTAAAATTTGTCTATCTTATAAATTTTGTACAAATTTATGAATACCTAAGTGAATAATACCATATATTAAACAAAAATAAGACATGTTTAATTATAGATGAAGCCACTGAGATACAGGCAGGATGTAGGGGGACGCTCTATGCTGACACTGGCCTCTATCCTGAGACATCCAACTGGAATACTGCAGCGATCAAAGGCAAAAAGCTATCTCTTTGTACTATTTTCTTTTCAAAACAACTTAAAACCAGAGAGCACTTTATGTTTCTGAAACAACTTATGAGGAAGAGCATGTGTTTGAATAAGCAGCTGTACTGAGTAAGATCAGTAGATCTTAAAAGCATGATTTCTAATATGTGCTTTTTTTTTTTTT